TGTCTGAGATTGTAATGTTGCATTTGCAATGAAAATAATATTAATATGTAAAAGTGTTTTATTTCTGATTATTCATTGTTTCCATATTAATCTTGAACAATTAAATATATAAACAACTTTCTCTGCACTTAGACAACCTATAAAATTATTAATTTTACTATGATATATGGAGGAAGCATTACTATTAAAAGCTTTTAAGGATAAAAATAATTAGATAAAGTACCTTGGTTTTTTTTTTTAACATATGCGAAAATAATTTATTTAAGTTAATTGCGAAAAAAGGGCATTTATTAATATTAATTATGACGTATAAAAAAAAAACAAAATTGTGCTAAGTAGTTATGTGGATGGACTGGCGGCAGCAACGGTGGTCAACTAATAAAACCGCATGTCATGCCCCTCTTCCTGGGTTTACATAACAAAAAAGTAGAATTTTTATAAAACTCGTTATTAATATATTATTAACAAAAAAAAAGGAACAAAAACAAGAAGAAAACGAAAGAGTAAATGCTTTTTTAATTGCAGAAATTACAGTCTTACGTGCCACACTTGCTCGTATATCTGCACGTTGAGGTTATTTATGTTTGCAAATTTATAAATTTTAGCAAAGAATGTTCGTGTGTGGCATTTTTAATGTCATCAAGTATAAAATTGCAGATTCATCACCAAATGACTATGCAATTAATTTCAGATATTGCTAAAAATTTTATAGCCTAATGTGATTTTGAGTTGCTCGCGAACTACACACAAAAGTCACCAAAGAGTCATGTTAGAAAGAGGTAATCGCCATAATATCTCCATAAGGGATACCGTAAAGGAGAGAAGGATTCAGACGCACTAAACTATATTGCTATAGTTCAATTATAGATTTATTTACAAATACGATTAATAAGTCATCATGATCCAAATATAAGAAACAAATATTTCATTTTCAATCATTTGCATAAAATATAAGGGAAGTGATATATACTGGAATAATCGTTCCTAAGCTTTAGGTTCTTATAAAAATAGTCTAAATTACATTCAAGTTAGAAGTACAAAAAGTTATTGCTGAGTTCCTTATCCAACAGTACACCACCTATGCATAGAATATCATAAAACCACCTATGCATATTCCATAAAACTAATTTATGGAAGGAAGATCTGATATAAAACCAATGTTCTCATCGTTTATAATGTTATTAAAGTACCATAACTCTTCATACTATCAAAAACTGGAAAATGCCAACACTACTATAGCATAAAAGAGAAAATTGGTAGACAAAAATTAGTACCACTGTAGTGCCACAGATATAGAAAAAAAGATGAAGCAAAAGTTAAAGAAGTTAGAGATGAAAAAGAAATAAATGCATAAAAATAAAACAAGGAAGATAAAATAGCAAAAAAAAAAAGAAATAGAAGATAAAAAGAAAAAAATTTGGAAAAATAAGAAGAACAAGAAGGAGAAGAAGTCAAAAAAGGTTCTTTAAAACTCAAGATTTTCTTGAGTTTATAAGGTCGCCGAAAAAAATTGTACTGCTTGAGAATAATATAATCTTAAGAAGGGTAGAGATGCCTAGAACTACACAGCGGAGAAGAATTGGGAAAAAAAAGCTTGAACTGGATTGAAGAAAAAAATAAGAAGAAATAGAAAAACACGAAGAGGAATAAATAGAAGAAAAAGAAATGGTCACGAAAAAGAAAAAAAGGAGAGGAAGAAAAAGAAAAGGACGAAAAAGAAGAATATGAAAAACAAGAACGCAAGAAAAGAAAGAAAAGCAAAAGAAAAAAAAAACAACAAAACAAAAGAAGAAGATTAAGTGTAAAAGAATAAATAGTATAAAAAGAAATGGTGACGAAAAAGAAATGGTTACGAAAAAAAAAGAATAGAACAAAAAGAATAGTATAGAAGAAGAAAAATATGAACAAGATAAGAAAAAAGGAAGAAGGAACAGCAAAATAAAAAAAGAAACAGCAAAAGAAAAGAATAAGATGAAGAATAAAAAGAAGACAAAGGAAAAGAAGAAGTCAAATAAGAATACAAAGAAAAAGAATACAAAGAACACGAAGAAGAAGAATACACGGAAAAATTACACGAATGAAAAGAAAACAATGAAGTACCAGATATACAAGGAAATGGACAAAACAAATTGAAAAAAGAAGAAGAACAAGAAAAGGTAGAAGTAGCGAAAAGACAGAATGAAAGAAAGAAACTGAAACAATTTGTAAAATAATTTTTATTGATTTTATGGAAAGTCAATTTTCTTTTGGATTCATTATATTAGAAACTGAAGAAGGAAAGTGGTAGACAAAGCTGGGCTAAAATTAATGATTGGAAAAAGCAGAAAAGTTATAAAGATTATTTAATAACCTCTCTAATAAAAAAGCAACAAAAAATAGAATATTGTTTGTAGTTGAACTTAGTCCCATTATTAATGACAACTTAAAAAATGTATTTAGTAAATAAAATTATAAATTATTTCAGTTTAAAATATAAAAATAATTATTTTATACAAATTAATTATTATTAAAAAAAAAGAATTTGAATTATTAAACTTAATTGTATTTATTTAATTTTTTCTTCCTGAATTGAAATGAATTTCAGTAACTCCCAAGGTTCTTGCAAACATTTTTCTAATATATAAAAA